GATCAAGACAGGCAGCAACAGAAAGATAGTTTGAGTTGGAAAATATTTGACATGCTATATTAAAGCAGTCCACTGTAGAATATGAAAAAAAATGCACATGTTTTTGTACAGGCATTGTACAGGCAAGTACAGGCACTGGGAAAGGTCAACATCAGTGCACCTTTATATGTGTGTCTACAGTATGTGGGCATTAATACGAGTGCATACAGTATACAGAACATCACAAAAACAGCACAGAAATTAATTTTGTATCAATCAATCTCTGTTTTCCCATTATTGATTTAGAATGTGTCAGTGTGCTCTGTAGTTTTAAACCTAAAAGGGACCTAGTCACATATAGGGTTGGGAATTGAAAAGATTTTCACGATTCCCATCCCTAGTCACATACGACAACTATAGATAAACATAAAAGAAAAACATAGTTATCTTTGAATAAAACAATATATGCCAAATGACTGTACTGTTAGCATTAACTTAGTCCTTTTTTTTTTACTTTAAAAGTATTGCACTATAGGCGCCATCAGCAAACATAAACGCTGTTATATGACATCTGCTGACAGTACTGATTGTAGAGCCTCTGCTGGGTGTACTTGCTTGGCTCCATTGCTTACTTTTTTCTCATTGGCTGTCTCACCTCCTTATTATGCAGTTTATTCATGGGTCAATGTTTTAAATATTAATAGCTTCAATCTGTGTGACAGAGGTAGTGAAGACAGCTGTGCACTTTTTATTTAGATAGTTTTTTATTGCAACTCATCTCTATTCCCACTTTGTCCTTAACAGCAATTTCTTGTAGTCACAACATACTTGCGTGCGTTCTTGTGCGTGTTTGTGCTGGGCCTTCATCTGTATGCCAAGCATTTATCTGGAGGGCCTCCAGTGAGAACCAGCTTAGGAGGAGCTCAAGGCCAAACAAGTATGCGGATTAAAGGACGAAACAGAGTCCTCTCTTTTTTCTCATCGTGGTGAAGGATGAATATAAGCAGCACTCTCCACTCCTTTAACTAACACAGAGGTGCCCTTGAACAAGCTTCTTGGAGTGTCCAAGTGTCTTTTAGCCAAATACTTTAGTGAAATTGTGTGGATTCTATGTATGCTGAGGAAGTATGCTGCTGTGGAAGTATTTAGTACTTGGAGGAAATCTATGCTGCAAATATCCACTAAAAGAACAGCACATGGCCATCGAACAAAAGGAGCTCTAGAGATACACCAATGCCCCTAATTTTACCTCACACTCTGCTCACACTTGCCAAAAACTGTAATAAATAAATTAAGCAGTTGGAGCAGCAGTGGTGGCTGTTTGCACTGTGTAGATCCCATTAGAATTGGTATTTTTCTGCTTGTGACAACCTAATTAAAATGTACAGGAACAGAGCTGGCACAAAGGTAAAAAAAGAGAGGGGGATTTGTGAAAGCCTGTCAGGGGAGAGGGAACTAAAAAAAATATATAATGTGGGAAAGAAACAAAATAATTTAACTTGAGCGCTAATGAAATTCTCAAATGGCTAAAAGAAAAATATTGTGATCCAGCTAAGGTTATGAGGATTGTGTGCAGCCATTTAAGACTCCAAGTTAAGGTCTTTGGAATCCAAAGCTGGAGCTTAATAGCTTAAAATATCTCAAGATTTAATGTTTTTTATCATTTTTAAATTACTATTTTCATTCGTTCATAAAGTTGCATTACTTTGTATTATTTATTTATTTGTCATATTGCTTATTCTTTTAAATAGACATTATGTAAGTTTTTACTTACCCTTTACAGTACAACCAAAACATCATTTGATGAGAAGACTGACACCTCAGTATTTCAGCAGCGATGTATCTATAAGCCTGTAGACTTTTTCTCGAACGTCCTTCGGGTAAGAAGTTTAGTGGATGTGATGTCAAGTTTATCCATGTTGAATGGGCCGGACCTAGCAAACAATCGAAGCATTATTTTTAAGATGTGACAGGCATCCAGCTCATCTCAGACACCAATGGCATCTCCACACGAGGTGAAAAAAAAAACCTTGTGAGGTACTTGTGCACGCTACAAAAACAAGCAGAAGGATGCTGCAGTTCTGTGTTTTCATTAGTAATGCCTCTTTAATATTAAAACATGTTTTTAGATTAGGTAAGTAGAAAGTTTAGTTGTATCCAAACTGCTTGTTCTACTAATGCTTCTTTAATGCAGTGGTTCCCAAACTATTCCTTACTTTGGGAACCACTGCTTTAGTGTATGGCTTTGTTAACACTATGCCAAGATATTTTTCAGATTACTCATAACTCATAAATAAATTATTTTAATGCAGATGAGTCTATAACCTATATGCTACTGAAAAATACTGACGCTTTCTAATCTTTCTAATATTATAATGGTACTCAACCCTATTTAGCATTTAACATGTTCTGTTTGTAGAAATGCTTTTTGATGGCAGCTTTTATGACCAAATGTGTCCATAATGATTCTGATGATTTTATTTTTGGTTAACTTAATAGCAAAAAAAGAAAACTCAACACTCTCCTACAAATACACATACTGAGTATACATGTACACCCAGTGTGTGTATATGTGTGCATGAAGACACATTACTGTATACCTTTGCCTACATTCATCCATCCCTTGCATGATCTATTCCTGTGGAGGAAGGCCTTGTGCCTCTCTCCATTTATGATGTGTTAAGGAATGGAATACACCCTGAAAAGGTCACCAGTTCATCACAGAGAGCAGAGATTAGTACAACTATGCATGCACAAACTCATAACTAAGGACAACTCTGAATAAAAAGTTTACACTACACTCATGTTTTTGGACTTTGGAGAGAAGTTAGTTGACCTAGGGAGTATCATGCACCAAGAGACATGAAAAATGTATGCAAGATGCTAGGCTGAGATTTAAATCAGTGACCTGCTCTGCAGTTTCCCTGAAACTAAATTTAATACATTTACTTTGTCAAAAAGATAATCATTATTTTTTTTTTTTAAGGACTAGAACCAAAGCTAGGAGATAAACCATTTTTATGTGCAGCACTACAAGACAGAACAAGACAATTTAATTAATGCTGGGCTTTCAAGGAGTGCATTTTTATGCTGCAGTTTTGCTGGAAATTAAATAACCTTGTGTTGCCTGTGTCCCGCTGAGGAAACAAGAACAAAAGAGAGTGAGATGGTCAAGGTGCTACTTTGAATAAGAATTCAGAGGAGATAGTGCCATGAGCAAGCCAACAGGAAGTGTATGTTTAAAAGAAATAGAGAGCAGGAGCATGTACAAAAATGGGGAATAACAATATGGAGAGCTTTTTAAGTGTGAGAAAGAGGCTGCACACAATGATCCCCCAAACACAACATTGGTTTCTTTCTTACTGCCTTTCTTTTATTCAGCTTCAGTCATACAGACATGTCTGTGTGCGCACAGTATTATGTAAATAGTCTCTTCGGCAGAGTGCTGCTGTCACTGAGTGAGTATCCTCTGGGCCATCCAGGCAGCCTCATTAAAACGCGGCATAGCATCCATTAATAGATACTAGTGTGCATGTACACATACGCACACACATCCATAAGTAGTCAGTCAATAAAACACACAAAGCATTCACAGACACCAATAAAGGACCTCCTGGGAAGCACATCTCTAAATGTTCCTCTTAGGTGGCAGTCAAAAAAGTGTCTCCAAGGAAACTGCTTAAATGTCACTGAGAACAATACATGAAGAGTGTGTGGTGACCGTGAGTGCAGACAGTAGAAGAAAAGAGTGGACAATGCAGCTTAAACCAAGGAATTAGTCTATAGTCTGGGTTATTCTTATCCAGTTTCCTCAAATAAATGACATTGCAGTCTGGTACCAGAACTCTTCTGGATAGCAGGTCTATAAGGGTCAGGCTTTTAATTACAGGCACACCTACCATTAATGTGCTTTTGTTATGATTGTAATTATGATTATTATTATGTCTATGCTATGTAAATACTATGTCATTCACAAGGGAGTTTTTTGTAATTAATGCAAAATTATTACTCATTAAAGAGTTTTTCTATGAATTTTAAAAAGAAATATGCTTGCTTTTGAAATACTGGCATGGCGACGCTGTCAAATAAGTTATTCAAAGTCACGGTTGTTTAAGTCAGAAAGATCCTATACTCTTTGTTTACATTAGCATTTGGTGGTAAAAAAAAAAAAAAAACAGTCAATTAACAAATGCCACAACTTGCTTATTTGGGCCACCAATGCATCTGCTTAATATGCTCCTGGCTTTACAGCTGGATCTTATGAAAAAGTGGATATGCCCCGCATGAAAACTTTGAATAAATCAATCAACTTTAGGGCTACAGTCAGTCAGTGAGTTTTTAGTTTCCTTTTGAGGAGTGAGTGAAAACCAGAGTTTTTCGGATTGTGGAATCAGCAATGGAAGAAGGTGTTGAAAGAAGTTAAAGCGTTCACTAAACGCCATAGTTCCATTAGTGAAGCGCCATGACAATGTAAGAACAAGCCAGTGCAGCACATACAGAGATTAAAAGCAAAGACCACATATTTCTAATAACTGACTTTCATGTTATTGTAGTTTTTGTAAGTTGAAGTTTGGAAGGAACAACTCAATGCTGTAAATGACAATGCTTTTATGATTTTACTGTTTTCTCAGTAAAATCTAAGCCAACCCACATCCGCAAATAAGTTGCTAATTTATATATTCTATCATTTTTTGGCTCAGTTAAGGCTTTTTTTAAGCGTTTTGATCAATAAGTTGTGTTCCTGTAAGGACATAGCTATACAGACTACATACAAATTATCATATGAATACTAATCTGTGCCAAGGAAGTCATGAAATATTAAGAAACCCTTTTTCCCTAATGATGAGTATTTTAAAGAACTGATCTGTAGTTAAATTTCTGGAAAGTGAGAGGACCAACAGGGGTTTGAAAATGTCAATACCTGCTTTAAAAAAAGATATATACATATATTACATAAACATTAACGTTCTCCGTAAAACATGTAAAGTAAAAGGAGGCCTCCCTTTGTTTTTGATCTGCTGGCCCCGCAGGTGGCTCCCGAGGTGTTGGCTTCATTCGCTTTGATAAGAGGATAGAAGCAGAAGAGGCCATCAAGGGCCTAAATGGTCAGAAACCTTCTGGTGCCGCTGAGCCAATCACAGTCAAGTTCGCCAACAACCCAAGTCAGAAGACCAGCCAAGCCCTGCTATCACAGCTCTACCAGTCTCCTAACCGCCGATACCCCGGCCCACTTCACCACCAGGCGCAGAGGTTCAGGTGAGTTGATCCAGAATGGGTCTGGTAAGGGTTAAACAGGATATGTGATACCATGTGATAAACAGAGTTTTTTGTAACCTCAGCAGCATTATTCTTCTTATAGAGTATCATATGTTGTGTAGCCATGACAGAAAGTATCAACTGTTTGTCTATTCACAAATTCTTAACTGTTTTATGATTAATATCATATAAAAACAGAAATATTTAAGAAGAATTAGATGTTTGGTATTAAAAAAAGAATAAGCCTCAAAATTGATAACAATTTTTCTCAGTCAATATGTCTGATATAAACAAAAGTGATATTTGAGAAATGTTTACATCATATGAAAGTCTTAGATTGTTTAAACAGTGGATGTAACACCTACACATAGAGAGATCATGACTCATCTCTTTGTCTGTGTTATACCAGCTAGACTCATCTTCCTCCTGTGAACAGTCATTTTGACAAATAGGACCTCTGTTTGAACAACAGCTGTAAGTTCTGCAGCTGTTTCAGGTGCCAGATAAACCAGTGAGTGCTCTGGGTGGCTCCACCCTGATCAGAGAGGAACTGTTCAGAAGAGACTGTGGGGTTCTGTCGTTCACAACTTTCTGTTTTCCCCATTTCATCTCCCTACTATCATGGCAGCATCTTGACTTCATCTGTTTTTCCGCTTAGACAAAAACATGTTTTTTTCTACCTTACAATACAATTGAATGAAACAAATTTGGTTTGAATTGTTTGCTAAGCAATTTTCCATTCTAATGAATTTTTCACGGGTTTGTCGTCTTCACACTAAACCATGGCTACATTATTTTTATCCCTTCACCTACATACTGCATTCATCATGTCATACCTAATCATTACAATTCACACTGACCTAAAACGTATTTGTTGCTTGGATATCAGACAACATCCAGAGATGCGTTTGTCTTTCTCCTTGACATGTTTTAAGCTTCATCAGATAGTGCAAGAATGTTTCACAATTACAGACAGAACATGTGCTTATACATTTCCCCCTCCATTACAATAACACTAAGCCTGTCGTGCTGTTTACTCTTCATCAAAGTCGAAGCTTGGAAGGTATTTTTCTTCTGCAGAGGCTTCCCTGGTGTGACACCTGAGCGATGTTGCGTGGCTGTGTGTCTGTGATACGCCAAGCCAATTTACAGACTCTGCAGGAGAGCTGTCGTTTGTCATCACAACTCACAACCACAGGACACTTCCACACTGCGTCCTCCTGCTCTCTGCTCCTGAGCCCCTCGCTGAAACCTCAACACTTTGCAAGTTATAAATGTGCTTAGTGAGCACTACTTCCATGTGTTTTGAAAACTGATTCTTAAAAAAAGAAGTTATTAAAACAAGTAGGTAAAAGAAAAAAGAAGTTTAAGCGTTAGTATTTTTAAATTGCTATCCATAAATAAAGACCCAGGAATATTGAAAATTGTAGAATCTGTTAGGATCACCTAAATTATTTATATTTACCAAAATCCACAACATTCACAGAAATTTTTTGGTTTCTTTAAAATCAGAACTATAGATTTGTTAAAGCACTAAAGCACCACATAAGTATCAAGTCATTAAACCATTTAGGATGAAGATGCGCTCTGTGGATTAAAGGTGAATGTGTTTCCATGTGAAATTAGAGAATTGACCGGGAGCAAAAGAAAAAAAGACATTTGGGAAAATCTTTCAACCTGAGAGTTCTAGAGTAGCAGCTTCATGTTCTGTAGGTGCTTCCCTGCAGGAGAAACTGGTACACTTTAATAAAAAAGATGAGAGCTTGAGGAAGAAAATTATTGAATCAATATCGTAAGCATAGCACCAAGTTGGTTGCAAACTAATTGCAAACTGGCTTATAATATGAATGTTATTAAGTGGCCATCCCAAAGTCCCAGCTTCAGTCCTATGAAAGATAAAAAACATTGTTTCACACAATTTAGACTGGTTGTCATGGTTGCAGGTCGGTGGAGCGTGGCCTTGGAAAGGGCGTGGGTGTGAAAAGCCAAAACAGCTTGTCCAGAAGACAGACAAGATGGATGGATGGATGGATGGATGGATGGATGGATGGAT